ATATATATGTGTATATATATATAATTTATTCACGGTGCAAGTATGTTATCTTAAAACTATGTCTATCTTCTCAAAATTTTAAAAATAATTACATAGGCTAGTTATTTTAATTAAAAATATGCATATGTATTTAAGATTTTGCTTCAAGGAAGATGTTTATTATTATTCAGAAAGATGATTATTGTTATTTAGCGATAAATTTTAAAAATAACTACATCAGCTAGTTATTATTTAAATTAAAAATATACATATGTATTTAAAGATTTTGCTTTAAGGAAAATGTTGATTGTTATTCAGGAAGATGATTATTCAGCAATAAATTTTAAAAATAATTACATAAGCTAGTTATTATTTTTAATTAAAAATATGCATATATATTGAAGGAAGATTTCGCATCACGGAAGATTTTGCTTCAAGGAAGATGTTTATTATTCAGGAAGATGATTATTGTTATTTAGCGATTTTAAAAATTTTTAAAATAATTACATTATCTAGTTATTATTTTTAATTAAAAATATGCATATGTATTTAAGGAAGATTTTGCTTCAAGGAAGATGTTTATTATTATTCAGGAAGATGATTATTGTTATGCAGCGATAAATTTTACAAATAACTACATCAGCTAGTTATTTTAATAAAAAATATACATATGTATTTAAGAAAGATTTTGCTTCAAGGAAAATATTTATTGTTATTCAGGAAGATGATTATTCAGCAATGAATTTTAAAAATAATTACATAAACTAGTCATTATTTTTCATTAAAAATATATATATTGAAGGAAGATTTTGCTTCAAGGAAGATGTTTATTGTTATTCAGCGATAAAATTGAAGCAATAAATATAAGATTAGATTGAATTTTTCACAAACAATACTAAAAAGAGAGATGATACAATTGAATTAAAGAATGAAGAAGATATCATCAGAAGCGAATATTCTACAATCTACATTATAGAAGATATTTTATTTCACGGAAGATATTATATCTGCACTACGAAAGGGATATTAAGACTTTGATATTATCAAAGGGATATTAATTACAATATTGAAAAAATCTATAATGACAAGTTTAATTTTTTAAATTAATTTTAAATTAATTTTAAGATAAATAATGAATAAAAATTATTTGGAATCAAATTCAATATCTACTTTTTACAGTAACTCATTAAAATTAATTAAATACAATGAGAAAAGAACATATACATAGATAATGAGAAAAGAATGTATACATATATGCACAGAGAATATACTTAGTTCTGAAGATCATCGTGGGAAGAAAGAGAGAAAGTAAAATGTTATACTTCTTTAAAATCTAAGTTCTTATTCTTTACAGAAACTTAATTATTATTTAGCACTGTAATGAGTGAAGAATTGTGTTTAGTAATATACAGGGTGTCCAATAAATCGTCCGCAATACTTTGAAAGATAATTCGGGACCCAAACAGAAAGAAGAAAGGTAAGCATAGGTCCGGAAAAAAAGTCGTTTCCGAGTTATAACTATTTTTATGATAAAAAAAATTATAATTTATTTTTCATCATAATCATAATTATAATAACAATTTTAACTTAGTTATAATATAATAATTCATTTTTTTATTTAAGATTTATCACGTGGAGGTCGTGGAGGCATAGTTCACTTGGCATCCTTCTTTTATTTTTTTGAATTTTTCGATATTTATAAATACAATTACATTATTTTTAGAATCAATATATGTTCATAAACATGAACATATATTTAAATCGAATTAAATAAGATGTTCAAAATGAACATCTTCAGCACGAATGCAGGTCCTTATATTCTTCTATCAAAGGAATTCCCAATTCTTTGAAAAACATTTAAATCCTTCCGAACTATTACAGTTAATACTTGATTAACCAAACTTTAAATATGTATATGTATATCATTCATTCTAAAAATAATGTGATTGTATTTACAAATATCGAGAAATTGAAAAAAAAAATCAAAATTAAAATTATATCATAAGAGAAATGGTACAAATGTGATTGAAGAAGAAAGTCTACAATAAAGATATAATTAAATTTTTCACAATGAGGTGAGCAGAATGAAAACCGAAGACGAGAAAAATAGGTATAAAACATTGTTATTTTTAATAGTAATCCTATTGGTTCTTAATTAATATGGATTGAATACATAAAGAAATAAAGTGCATTATACGTAATATAATATTTATTGTAAAAATGTAATATCGTCAAAAGTCACGCGCAATGTTGTTGCGATTACAAGTTCCTTAACAAAAGTTGATTCTTTTGTTGAGATTTATCATCCCCTAAAGTTTGTCCCAGAAGTTCTGAGTTAATCAGAAACATCCTGACTATTTGAAATATATAACTTTGCAAAAAAATATTGAATATTAATGATTCAATTCTTGCTTAATTATTCAAATAAATTTCAAGATATTTATATATTAATTTCATGATTGTAAGTTATTCTAACATAGCGATTCAACAACGGAAGATATGCAATTTTTTTAGAAGATTGGTACATTTTTTTCGGTGGAAGAAAGATTTCTAGTTACTACTGGAAGTTACTATTCTTCGCTCAAGATTTTACAATCTATTATATCACTTTTATCTATAAAGCTAGATAGTATATGACAAATTACAAGTTATATAATAAAATTTTAAAGAAGCTATACATTAAATTATTTCATAAGAATTATATTTTCAAAGTTTCTGTTTTTTGATCAAATAACTGCAATCAAATAGTAGATATTACACTAAAATAGATAAATATAAATTTTTAAGAAGAGTAAATATAGGTGCACAAAATGTGCATATATTAAAATATAAATTTTAATTTTATGTATGTGATATATATACACATACACATACACATATATATCGTAAATATTAGAACATGTTTGAAAATGATCGAAGTTACAACATTTCATATAATAATTCATTAATTCTGCCAATGTAATTTTCATTTCTAAATTAAATAACGTGAATTTATACGTAATCATAGAATAATTTATAATATTAATAAATAAAAAAGATTTTATTCTTTTCAATGTTTAATGACTATAAACTGTATTCATTGCAGGTGTTACATTGTGCAACTTTTTTATCATACTACTCATTTAAGTTTTTCTATATCTTTTTTTAATTAGCATATGTAATAAAATATTGAATTGCTTTGTTACAAGCCTCGAATACTAAGCTTATTTTCTTTAAAATTACAAAGTAATTTTTATTAATATTTTTATTACTTGCAAAAACGTAGCAATATAGCAATTGTTGTTATTATTATTATGACAATAATTAATAATAAAAGATAGAATTTTATAAAATAAAAAATAATTTAAACGAAGATTAAGAAAAGAAATCTAATTTAGAGAGTCGAGAAATACCTCTCATTTACCTCTCAATTTCTTTTTAACTCATACATATATGTTGTATATATATTGGAATTATATCATTAAACAATGTAATAATGAACTATATAGGAGAAGGCTGTAAACCAATATTCGACAGAGAAGAATTAAAGAAAACTATAAGCAAAATTAACGAAGTGGAAGAACGACGTACAGTTGTAGCTATAGATAAAGAACAATCAGGTATATATTATGTAAATATTTGTTATTTATTATTAATTCTTAAATTTTACCAATTAAACTCGCGAAGTAATGAATATATAAAATTGCATTTATATTTTTTAAAGTACTCGAAATTTTGTAAAATAAATATACACTTGAGATGTATTATGTATGTTTATAATATAAAATGCTATATATAATATAATATAAAATTTTATTTTACAATATAAGAGGTTACAACTCGTAACCGTAATTTTATTTGATATATTGTTAAAATTATTCCCTAAAAATAAGACAAAAATATCGAGATTATAATACTTTCCAAATGAAAAACATTTACAATAGACGAATCAGATAGTTCAATTTTCGCACGTTTGGAAACGATACTTTACGCGGTGTCCATGTTATTTTTCTATAAAATCACAATGAAAGTTTTAGTTTTCGACTTTTGAGGCTCCATAAAGAATATCATAACACAATATTTTTAAAAAATTTGCATATTTTAACACTATAATATTATAGCCCCATCAATCAAGTCGCGTACTTTGAAGAGACGGTCGTTATCCTTGAGTCCTGTCAGGAATCGTGTTTATAATTCCGGATATCCACCTTCCTATCAATCCAGGTTGGTTTTATTCACTATGACAATATTTTATTTATGCTAAATGTACATTCTTTAATCTATTTTCTTATGATTTTAGTCATCGCATGGATTTGAAGCATCGAGATAAGACAGAAAAATGTGATGGGTAAAGTTAAATTTATTTATTTATTTATTTATTGATAAATACAGTTTACAGTTTATTTTTTAAATAACATTGTTCAACAAAAAATGACTTTCGAACATCATAACGAGTCATTTCCCGTAAGTTTTTGGATGTTGAATCCGAATCGAGTTGTAGAATTTACGTCACAATTTTGAGAGATTTGCAGGCAAAAAAGAGCTATTTTCATGTATTTTGTCATAACTTCGAAATGCGACGTACTGGAGAAGTGTTCTTGCAATCAAAATTAAGTATGTTCAGATTTTCAATCCTCAAAAGGAATTTTTTTGTGTTCGTTATAGTTAATTAGAATTAAAGTTATTTATTGTTAAACATGGGGTCTATTACGGAAAAGTTGTGAATTAAATTATTGACAATTTACCAAATTACAGCTTCCAATTTTGTTTATTTTGCGAGGTCCACATTTTCAATCCGAAGCTTACATAAAAAGTAAAACCTATCTGTGAACACACGCGTACGCATTTTTTAACATTTTTTAAGTTTTGACATCCGCTATATTGAATCTGCCATTTGAAATTTGTCAATTTTGACATTGGATTTTCAGCAATTTAAAAAATACTTGAAATAAACAACATTGGAAGTTCTGTTTGGAAAATAAATTGTCAATGATTTAATCTACAGCTTTTCCACAATGGACCCCATGTTCAATAAGATCTTTTTTGCAACTTTACCTACAAATTTCTCAAAATTGTTACGTCATAGAGTATTTCAACCGAATTTGGATTCAGCATCCAAAAGAACTATGGGAAATAAGTCTCGTTATGATGTATTTCTTTTTGTTAAACTGTGTTATTAAAAGCAAACATTAGATAATTAAAACAATTAAGTAATTATTCTAGATGAAAAGTATATTCTCTTACTATATTTTGTAGAAGAAGCAGTTTAGACGAACGCAGAGAGTATAAAGAGAAATATATAGAAAGAGATGCAAATAAGCATGATATTAATCGATCGCATTCTAGAGAACCGCGCAACTCACATTCCAGGTATAGAATAAAATCATTAATAGATCATTGTTATT